CGGGTGTGCCTCTTGAGCCTGCCGAAGGGAGGCAGGGGCTGCAGCTGCAGCTCCTGCTCGAGTACGTGAGGAACAGGCTATTTTGGGCCTGTTCCGCATCCCTGTTTCCGTGCCTGAGTCTTAGGRGCAGGTCGAAACAATGAGGGCCTGAAAATGGCCCTCCGTTTCAGGCTGAAAACTCTGGGTCTGAAAAGACCCAGAAATAGGCTGAAACGAGGTAGGGCCTGCAGGCCCTCGTTTTTCAGCATCCAGGTTGAAATGAACGGGGCCTGTAAGCCCTAAGTTTTAGGCTTTTAGGCTGGATGTCCGGGACGGGACCTGTAGGGCCCGTGTGGCTACGCAGTATGCCACACCGGTACCAAGGGCATTTCTGCAAAGGCCCCGAGGGCAGAACTGAAAAATGCAGTATTTGAAAGTGGCGCCTGAATTGCAGCATGGCGCCATTTGTCCAAAATCCCACGGTACCAAAGGAGGGGTTTGGAAAAAGGGTGCCAGGCCGAAAACGGGATGCAGCCGAAGCAGCAAAAAGATAGACCAGGGATCGAGCCCTGGCGAAGTCCGTAACACTGGCACCCTTTTTCCAAACCCCTCCTTTGGTACCGTCGGATTCCGGACAACTGGCGCCATGCTACAATCCGGGTGCCACTTTCAAATACCGCATTTTTCAGTTCTGCCCTCGGGGCTTTTGCAGAGCTGCCCCTGGTACCGTACGTATCACCGGCACTTATACCGGTTCCCCGTACAGTACGGGGACCAGTCTCGTACCAGTTTCAGCTGCTGTACTCGTACTCAGTGTGACTTGCTCCTGTTTTCGGCATTCGGAATCGAATACTTCGACTTTGTGTCCTTGCCACTGTGTCTGCGTCCGACCCTCAGTCGTGTCGAGTGAGTGAGTGTGTGTGTGTGCTCTCTCTCTCCCTCTCTCTCCCCTCTCCCTCGGCTCTCCCGGTCTCCCTCAGCCTCGCGCTCGTTACAAGCTACATAATGTCCATGAACAGTGAGGCAGCAGGCCATCATCCCTGTGCGCTTGCCATTAGATCCTTTATCGCAGGCGTCACGCAGGTCCACAAGCATTGGACAAGAGAGAGAAGGTAGTGAAGAGGACAGATGGGACAAGGCTAGGTGAAGGTAAGGGAAGATCAGACATCAGGAATCAGGGTCAAGGGGAGGGTGGCTGGGTTCAAGGGTGTGTGTAGAGCAGGGTTGCGAGGGTTTAGCGGGGGGTTATGCCATAGTTGTATAGGTATCTAGGATTAGCACGATCATAGGCGCGGACAAGTTTCATGTTGTTCTTAAGATTAGAGAGAGGTTCCCATGTAGATTCTTCGTCGGGGTATCCGGTCCATTTGACTTTGTATTCAGTTATTGGTTCCGGATGATCAGATACCTGAGTGGTTCGTCGGCTGATGATGGTTTCGACAACCAATTCAGGGCCTGTGGGTAGCATGATTGGTGGAGGTCTAGGATATGGGCGGTCGGCGAACTGGGACGGGGATTCATGGTATTCTTTTAGGTACTCGACATGGAAGACTGGGTGGACACGAATCATGTCAGGGGGAAGTTGGAGTTTGTAGTTGACGGGGGAGGTTTGTTCACTGACGGGGAAGGGACCGAGCCATTTGTTGGAGAGTTTCTTGGACAAGCCGTGTTGGGTTCGAAGCGTTTGGCGGAGAGCCATACTTGTTGCGTCTATGTTTGTTAGTCTTGTTGGCTTGTTGTTCATGGGTTCGTTCAATGGCTTTGGAGGCTTCTTTCAGGAGTCTGTTCATTATTGTTACCCATTCATTGAGAGAGGGCAGGGGGTGGATGGGTTATAAGCTGCAAAGGAAGCAAGAAGTCAGAGGGCAAGCGAGGGTGGTAGCCAAGGTCGAGGTAGAATGGAGACATGCCGATGGAAGGGCAGACGACGTTGTTGTAGGCGATCTCGGCGGCTGTGAGGAACTGATCCCAATCATGTTGGTGAAAATGACAATACTTCCGCAGGATTTTTGGAGCGTATCGTTCATCTTCTCTGTTTGTCCATCGATTTGTGGATGGAATGCAGTGCATCTTCTCTGTTTGTCCATCGGTTTGTGGATGGAATGCAGTGCTATAATTTAGCGTGGTTCCGTAGGCCGTGAAGAGGTGTTTCCATAATTGTGAGAGAAAGTGAGGATCACGGTCACTGATAAGGAGGCCGTGATGGCGAGCAACGTGGCCAAAGAAGAGTGTGGCGACGTCTTTGGCACTGTGCGAGGTCGTGCAAGGGATGAAGTGGGCACGTTTGGTCAAGCGGCAGGCAATGACGGAGATGCAATGATGCCCACGGTCGGTCTTGGGGAGGCCGCACACGAAGTCCATGGAGATGGACTGCCATCGGTAAGTTGGGATGGGCAATGGTTGGAGCTTGCCGGGTTTGGTCCAGTTCGAGGGGTTGACATCTTGACACGTGGGGCATGAGTGAATGTATGCTTTGGCGTCGGCGAGCAGGGAAGGCCGATAGAAGTAGCGGGAGATGGTGTCGAAGGTTTTCTGGAAATCGAGGTGTCCTACGGTCTTGGCGTCGTGGTGCTCGGCCAAGAGTTGAGTACGGAGACCACGTGCGTCGGGGATGCAAAGTCGGTGAGTGCCTTTGGTATCGATGTAGAGAAGGTTGTTGTGAAGGGAGTAGTCGGGGACTGGGTCAAGATCGCGGAGCTTATTGTAGATGGTGGCGAAGTCTGGGCAAGAGAGGTAGCCTTGGGTGTATCGGTGATGGAGTGATGGGAGGAGTTGGATATGAGTCATGGCGGCGTAGACTTTCTTGGGGGGCTTGTGGTCGGGTCGTCGAGAGAGGGCATCCGCAACACGGTGGCTTTTGTTGGGGTATCGCAAATGGTGAATGTGAATTGGGCAAGGAAGTCTAGCCAGCGGGCTTGGCGTGGAGTGATATCTTTCTTGGAGAGGATGGAGGAGACGATGGTGTTGTCAGTGCGGATGGTGAAGTATTGCCCGTCGAGGTACGGGCTCCAGACTGTGAGGGCGTGAATCAYGGCGAGGAGTTCCTTCTCGTTGGAGGGGTAATTCATCTCCGCGGGAAGGAGCTTCTTGCTAGCGAAGGCGGTGGGGTATTCGTCGGGTGGAGCCTCGGGGTGAGTGGGGGAGTTCTTGATGGAGGTGGTGTCGGCAGTGTCACGAGGGAAATGTTGGGACAATACGGTCCAGTGGCGAAGTCGGAGGCGTCAGTGGTGACATGGAAGTGGCGGGTGGGGTCGGCGATCTTGAGGACGGGGGTCGTGGTGATGGTTTGTTTGAGTAGATCGAAGGTGTGTTGGCGGCGATCTTTCCAAGTGAAGGGCTTGTCCTTGCGTGTGAGTTCGTGGAGGGGGTAAGAGATCTCAGAAAAGTTGCGAATGAACGAGCGATAGTAGTTGGCAAGGCCAAGAAAGGAACGAAGTTGGAGAAGGGTCTTGGGTGGGGGGTATTCAACGAGGGTTGTGACCTTCGAGGGATCCATACGGATGCCTTCAACGGAGACAATGTGGCTGAGGTATTCGACGCTCGAAGCAGCAAACGTATATCTGGTGAGCTTGGCGTAGAATTTTTGCTCTTGGAGGATCAAGAGGACTTGGCGGAGGTGCTGAAGGTGGGACTCAAAGGTGGGGCTGAAGACAAGGATGTCATCAAGGTAGACGACGACACAGACTTCGGGGAGGTTGCGGAAGATGTGGTTCATGGTAGAATGGAAGGTAGCGGGGGCATTGGTGAGTCCGAATGGCATCACGAGGAACTCGTAGTGCCCAAATCGAGAGCGGAAGGCGATCTTGTGGGTGTCCTCCTCACGGATACGGATCTGGTGGAAGCCACTGCGGAGGTCGATCTTGGTAAAGTGCCTGGCTCCACGGAGACGATCAAGGAGCTCGGAAATCCGAGGTAGGGKGTACTTGTTCTTGATCGTGATCCGGTTCAAGGCGCGGTAGTCTGTGCACATGCGGAGTTCCGAACTTCCACCTTTCTTGACGAAAAGGCAGCTGGTTCCGACGGGTGGGGCTGGTGGTGGGGGTGGAGGAGTCGATCGTGGTGAAGCATGCGAGAGTGGAGGTCAGCAAGGGCATGTCGGGTTCGTGGGCGAGGGCGGTTGCAAAGTCTTTGTGGCATACTCGTTTGATGTCGGAGATGAACGCAAAGTCAGGAATGACGGTGGTGGGGAGGTGGTGGTGGAGGGAGCAGACGTATTGGACGAAGGGTTTTGTGGGACCGGTCTGGCGGAGGTGGCAGAATTGTTCAAGGTAGTCATCAATGGTTTTTTAGGGGCAGAAGGTGGCAGTGAGAAGGTTGGCCTATTGGAGAAAGGAGTGACGTGGTCCTCTGGAGGCTCGGCGGTTGCTGACTTCGGCCATCCACCATTTGGCGGCATTGCCGAGGAGACGGGAGGTGGCAATGGGGACCTAGTGGACAAGGGGCATGTAGTGGAGCTGAAAAGAGTTCTGGAGCTGGGTTAGGAAGAGGAAAACGTGCTCGTGGGGGAGGCCGGAGAAGGACATGATGTCGACGAATCGGAAGGAACGGGGGATTTCCCCGTCGTGAGGAACGATCCGGGCGAGGGTGTTGAAGCTGAGGTTATCGGGGGTGGTGTCGTAGCAGGTGTAGTCGAGTTGGTTGTTGTCCTCAAGGAGGTAGTCGGGGGGGAGTTGTGGCATTGCGGGGTAAACCCCGGAGGTGACTTGGGAATAGGTGGGACGGATGGTGGGGATGGTGGAGGTCGTCATGATGGGTTGGGGAAGGGTAT